CACTGAGTCAAATACGAAGTGGGTGAGATTCAGACATGCTTTTATGCCTTCCACTATCTCATCTACCGTAAGCTGTGTCCGTTCCGAAAGGGTGGTGTCCGCTAACAGCAGTCGCTTGGCTATTTCTAAAGAGTCCCCTTTTGGCACATTTGTATATAACGAATTCACATCGAAACTTACAAGGATGTCATCCGGTTCAACAGTGACACCCGCCACTTTGTTGGCGAAGTCATATGAATTCTTAAGTACAGTACTAGATTTCCCGGTGAGGGGCTTTAAAATACCAGCCAAAAATCTGGCCAGTTCATGCGGTGGGAAACCTATTGCGTGTCGGGCTCATCTCACCGGGACATCTGGTTTATGGATCTTTGGAAGGCGATAAAGTCGTGGTTGGATTGCACTTTTGGGGTACAATCGANATAGACGTAATATTCGCATTGTTGATCTCCCGATAAGGACCCTCAGCTAGGTGTTGCTTAACCTTCTGTAAATAATCTTGTTCGTTCATAACAACAGTGGCCTTACCCTTATCCGCCTTTGTAATCACTATGTTGTCCACCCGTTTTAGGATGTTTAAAGTCTCTCTGCTGGTATCACTATGTTGTCCACCCGTTTTAGGATGTTTAAAGTCTTTCGCTCTGCTGGTTTAACATTTGGAGCTCCTGGCTGCTGGGACTTAAGGACTGTGACTAGCTGTACCGAAGCCTCTCTGCCTCCATTGACTGTCAAAAGTGAAACGTTGCCCAAATAAAAACTACCGATTGTTTACCAAGCTCTTCTGAAACGAAGAGATGTCTCCTGTTTACGTTCAGCAAGAAGCTTCTTCAACTACACGTGACGCCACGAAGCCGCCACTCTGAGGGAGGGACATCGAAAAACGCCACTTCATCGTCTCTGCCACGCGTCGACAGACTGCAGCTCCGATTCAATTACGGATGATTTGTACAGCAAGCTCGATGGCTTCTCCAAAATAGCCCCTGATATCAATATTGTAGTACTTCATGAAAATCTGGATGTGTGATTCGGCCGTCTGAAGGTAACCGGTATGACACATCAAGGATTTGTGCTTAGACCGCCGTTGTTCCAGCTATATATTGATAACATTCCCGCGTAGACTTACGTTTTTGTAGCTGATATTAAAACACTGGGAGCCCAGTGAAATTGTGAGGATATACAGAAGGACTTCAGTGTTGTATCACCTTGACTTCAAACTTGAAGCCAGTTGGTTAGGTCGACTGAGCACTCCATTTCGCCTAGTGAAGCAAGTCCCCAAGGACCCGGGGCGAACGGTAACACAACTTGGAAGCAAACACGCACAATGGGATATGCTCAAGCCTGAGGCAGTGCGATTCAATCATAGTTCGATGGCCTTCGTCCCTGTGTGCTGAGTACATATACTGCCTACTACCGTATGCATGCACCCCAGCCCGAAAATACATCTAAAAACCGCACATTCCGATCGCCCAATGGCTGAGGGTGACTGCAGTTTCATCACTAATTATGGTCAGAGTATGATGCTGCGAAAACGACACTTGTTGTGCACCGTTGAATGGAAAGCTAGACAGCTATACCTTATTCTCTGCTCCATCGAGCTAGATAACCCCCTCCCCACAAACAGCCAGTGGGTGGGACTGGAGTTATGGGCTCCGGAAAGGATATCCCATGAAAACCCTAACTGTTACCTCGCGCACAAGAATGTTGTGTCAACGGCCACAGATAGGGCTCTAAAACAAAACTCTAACATCCACCACTGTCTTGTAGGTCAAAGGTTCTATCAGGAAGGTCACATTCCTGAGAGCAACCACTGAGTGACGAAATCTACCGAGACTCTCAGCTCCGCTAGATATTGACCAGACAGACAACGTCCCCTCAATATGCAGCGCTTCACAGTCTTGTATCAAACCCAGACAGCGAGAGTCAGCGTTGATCAAGGTCAGGCAACGCCCCCGCAATATGCGGAGCGTCGCAGCCTCGTACCAAAGCCAGACCACGTGCGTCAGCATTGTACCAAGTACAGACAGTGTCCTTCCAATAAATAGCTTGAGAACGCTGTACTTTGGCATTCGCACGCACTCACGCTCTCACTCTCGCTTGTTCGGAATACAGTTGTTGTGCTCCCTTCTGTGAGTCTTTTTTTCCGGCATTAGGCAGTAGAGCGGGTCAGCAGATATAACAGGTTCGAACCTTTTAAATTAACATCGATGGCGATAAGACCCTGACTGTTGCTAGCTCAATTAATTCAGCATCGAACCTCAACCATAGAAATAAAAACTAAAAAAGTGCCGTTAATGTCAGAAAATTGGTCTAACGTAGAAGATTCGAGTCTCCTTACTTTCTGTTGAATGGACCAACAACAACTACCTTACCCACACAACTTGCTCTTTAAAAGACCATACTATGATAGTGCACCTGAACATGGTTCAATGCTAGTTTACTCTGGGTGTCACGTGATGCGGAAGCGTCGCCTCGTGGTCTCAGTGGTGTGGGTGTTGCGTTGAGTACGTGATCTCGGAAGGCTCTGGCTGACTGGATTCATGTGAACGGTCTGCTATGTGAAACCAGACTTGCCGGGTCTTAGAGTCCACAAACAGCCCGAGGTTCGTACGTTATCTCTGCATACGCCTCAACAGCAGCAACACTGGCGAAGAAACTTTCATTGAGACTGACTTCACGGTTGCCTTGAATACACTATTTGTTAGCTACGTTACAAGTGACTCCTGGCACCACAATTAATATAAGTTGATGGATAACGCCCATACCTTCGTAACCCGTGCATTAACTCCCTCTGTCACTGCACAGTGGATGCCTAGACACCGATCAACAAGGCTCTTCATTTTGAAGTACAAAGGGATACACTGAGACTGAATGCCCGGAGGCAAGACTCCGCTTTGCGGTTACGAAACGCATGCAAGAGGTAGCTCGACATAACTCGGAAGCTCGAGATAGCTCAAACCACCAGCTCACGGACCGGAAGGCTCGTGGTCCGAACCTCCGTCACGAAGTGACTGGACCTTACCGTGGTGTGACGGTTTGCGCACCTCAGCGATCCATTTAGCTATACTGGAGAGTGTCCCGCGACACTCACAGAGTCTCTCATACCAGGTTGATCAATGGTTAGAGGTCTGACGAACACAGTCTCCTGGCCTTTCAGGTTGGGGGTTGGAACATGTGGCGACTTGTTCCGTAGAAATGGTAATGCATTTGCATTTCCCGCCAAACACCGCTGCCTTGCGGTTAGGCTTTTGAGCCAAAGACTTTGGTTGAGGACCCTAATCGTCCTCGTGTCCAGGCGTGGGCGCCCTGGCAGCCCTCGTACAACCATGACATAAACAACTAACAATTTTCTCATGCCACATCGGCCGTCGCGTGGTCGCCTTACTTGCTGCATACAGCAGGGCGGGTAAGCGAAAACAGGCTACTGCTGACGCCACCCTTCTTTCTCCTTCACATGCTTTTTCTTCCCCCTCCCCACCCCATTAATAACTCTCTCCTTGTAGGCCCAGCACTTAGGACTGATGACTCCGTTCGTCACGCATCGGTTTTGCGTGCAGCATCTGCTCGTCACATGGTGCCGACATCTGCAGAAATCTCCAAATCAGTCCTCAAGCCTCGACACCCAGTCTATCTGGCCGCGTTCAATGTCCCTACTCTGAAGCAAGCAGGACAACAAGCTGCTCTTGCACTCACACTGGACTCGCTTGGCATTGATGTGTGCCGTGTTTCAGAAACAAGAATTCAATATGCAAGCACAGTGATTGAGTTGACCGCCCCGTCAGTCTCCACTCGCTTCCGGCTACGCACCTGTGGTGATCCAGAGGCTGTGTAAGGTGCGGACAAATCGCTTGGCAACTGAAAGACTGGCAGATCCGGATGTTGGACGAATTTGCAGGAATCATCTAGGGCTTCTTCCAAATGCCTCAATATCAGTTTTGGACTCATACTGGGACGAGACTGCCACCTCTTTGCATAGCGCTGGGAATTTTGCCTGTGGCACGACCCAACTAGGCGCACTCAAGCACTGGATATCAGACCCAACGGTGGCACTACTTAAATCTCGAAGAAATATCCCAGCCGGTGCCGAACATAACCCGGTGCGAAGAGTTATCAGACGCCAAGTGAAAATGAGCTTGCGATCCGACCGTGAAGTATGGTGCACACAGAAAGCCAAGGGAATAGAAAAGGCCCAGAAAGTTGGTAATGCCCGGAGATTATTTCAGTTGATCCGTGCGGCCGGTCCCCGGAAACCACCTGTGAGCGAAACCATCAAGCATCAGAACGGAACGACCATCTCGAGCAAAGAAGAACGCCTCGACCGGTGGGCTGAATACTTTGAACAACAAATGTCTCGGCCACCAGCCAGCATACATCTACAGCCCACAGGTGAGGTAGAACCCTGGACGATGAACGTGGAATCACCTACGGCCTCGGAGGTCTACGACTGCTAATGTTCTCCCAAGCGTCACCGAGCTCCCGGTCCGGATGACCTTCCACCCGCACTGTTCAAAGACGGGGGTGAAGTCCTCAGTCAGTGCTTGTCCGATCTGTTTGGTTGCATTTGGGAATAGGAGTCTGTCCTAGACAACTGGGGTAAATCGGTGATAGTGCCCATTTTCAAAAAAGGGGTGCGTAGCGAGTGTGGTAAACACAGGGGGATCAGCTTGCCTCCGGTCGAAACGAGACTTCAATTGTGCTTCCTCGCCTTACGCTGGCTCGTGAGATACTGAGCCGAGAGCACCAAGCGGGATTCGGCCTGCTAGGGATTGTGTTGACCAAATTTACACGCGGAGTCAGGTGCTAGAAAAACGCCATACCTATAAGCGACCCACAGTTCTAGTATTCCTGGATTTCCGAGGCGCATTCGACTCGGTTGATCGGTCTGTTCTTCTTGAGACGCTTGCCCA